ATACTTCATTGTATTGCTCTTTATGGATGGTTTTCTCGGTGCATTTGTACTCTCTACTTGGGATACTACTACTTGCTCAGCTGTGTGATTTCGCAACTTGGTTTTATGTATATCGCTCACACTCATATTCCTTGCATTGTTTTTTTTTCTTTCTTTTTACGGAATCAGGTATTAAACTGATCCGAACAGATACTACACTTGATCTAATTAGCCGGAAGGCCGAGAAAGGTATTCGTTTTCTTTTTCAGTTGATTAAAAGAAGCGAATAATGAGTAATGAAAAATATAAAGTTTAGTAAATTAGGGATAATCTGCAAAATACCCCCTTAAGTAGAGATATATGCTAGGCTACTTGGCTCGCCGTCGCCCGGGAGTCACCTGCAGAAGGCACCCCTAAATATCAGCCTTTTCTTTCTTTTTTTTTTCTTTTCATGGCAGTGTGAGAGCCCTTTCTTTCGTTTGTTTTTTGGGCTGGAGGTTTTCTGAGCATGGCTGGAGGAGCCCTTTCTTTTCTCGAGCGTTGGCTGTCAAGTGGTGGTGGGGGCGAGGGGAAGGGGGGTTTACATTGGCTTTGAAGTGGCCAAAGGGGGGTGCCTTAGTCTGATTCTGTTGTTTTCTGTTTCATCTTTGATTCCGTGAGGATTTTTTTTATTTTTTTTCCCCCCCCTTTGACAAACGGGGCCAGTGTCCAAGGCTGAATTATACACTCTGCCGAAAACCCGGGCCCGGCGTTCCTTACCAAAAGGGGGGCGGCCCCGTTGGAATGATCCAGGCACTCCGGACTGGTTCATTCCAGGGCCACACAACTAGACCAACCCCAATTCAAAAGGGTGTAAAACCCCAACAGGGTGCAATACACGGACTGGTTCATTCCAGGGCCACACAACTAGACAAACCCAATTCAAAAGCGTATAAGACCCCCAATAGGGCACAAAAAAAAAAAAAAACGGGCCCGGCGTTCCTTACCAAAAAAAGGGGGGAGGCCCCGTTGGAATGATCCAGGCACTCTGGACTTCCAGGGCCACACAACTAGACCAACCCCAATTCAAAAGGGTGTAAAACCCCACCAGGGTGCAATACACGGACTGGTTCATTCCAGGGCCACACAACTAGACCAACCCAATTCAAAAGGGTGTAAACCCCCTACAGGGTGCAATACACGGACTGGTTCATTCCAGGCCCACACAACTAGACGAACCCAATCTGAAAGCGTATAAAACCCCAAAATAGGGCGCAATAAAAACAACGACAAAGGCTACCATCTGGAGGTGTCGCCACACCCTGCAAAACCACCCTGCCTCCTGTGGGCCAGGCGTCTGTCTGAATCCACAGGCCCCCAACTGCTGACATAGACCCCGCAAAGCCCTCCCACCTCCTCGCGATTCAGGGTGGAGTTTGCACCTCTACCCACTCTCACCGTGACCGAAAACAACACCTCCCACCATGATGGTGTTTTTGCAAGCGAGTGGAAATACCCTGCCACCCGCGCAGCAGGGGCCAAAGACCCTGCGAAACCCTCCCTCCCTCCTCACGATTTCGGGTAGACCACCAGCCCCAGTCTGCATTCACTCCCTAACGCGGACCTTCACCGCCTTCCATGATGAATTATGCAGAACACAAGTCAATGCAGAAACAGCGCTCAGAAATACCCTGCCACCTGCGCACCAGGGGCCAA